ATGAACATCATGTGTATCTATAAATAAAAAGTGAAATGTGATTTGGCTTTGGACCATGTCAAATGTGATTTGGGTAAATCCGTCAACATTGCCGGCCTGCGTTTGGCTTGAATCATGTTAATTATCATGCCGGCTCTTATCACTATTGATTTAATCCGATTTCTCAGACAGGACTAGCGTGAGATGCCTAACAGAAGTTCACAATAAAGCACTTGGTAAAGAAAATTAAATGATGTCTATAGTCTCCGCACTGCTTCATGGTGCAATCTTGCTAGCCTTCAACGGAGGCACCACGTTAATTCTCATCAGAAGCGCTACAAATTCTCACAATAATTAAAAACATCTATCTTTTAATTTGGTAGACTCTAATCATCATCGTCTATATTAGCCATTGGATCTAATGTAATTTTTAAAAAAATTACCCATCCCTGTCATTATATACATAAAGTAACCCTCTAATTTTGTATCTAAATTACCCACCTTTGCTTTTACGAATGATAATTCAAAATAACCCTCTAAATATGTCTATAAATTACCCACATATGTCATTATGAAAAAAGATCAAATCACATCTAATTAGATACTCAAACGGAGGCACCATGTTAATTCTCACCGGATGCACTAGGAAAAAAAGATAAATCCTAGAATTTCTCATAATAATCAGAAACATCTAGCCTTTAATCTAGTAGATTCTATTAATCATCATTGATAGTAGCCTTTGGATCTATTGTAATTTATAAAAAAATCACCCACCTCTACCATTATGAAAAATACATAAAGTATTTCGCTAATTTTTTGGCGATTACACAGTACAATGCAGACCCTCACAACGCACGCACACTCACCCCTATGAACGTATGCATGCAGACCATACCCCTATGAGCATCTTCGAAGACTGAGTCGGTAAATCCTGCTATTACGAAAAGAAATTCAAAATAAACCCTAAATATGTCTATAAATTACCCACATATGCTATTATGAAAAAAGATCAAAATAACCTCCTCACATTGCATATAAATTACCTACCTTTGCTATTGTGAAAGATAATATAAAATAACCCTAATTTCAAGGTTGATTAATTATGATGTGTGAGTAGAGTACAAACATAAATCCTGATTCACATAAAACAGGTAGTAGATAACCTATGAAGCAATTGGCAAAAGATCCTTATATAAATCTTTAAACAAAAATTGTATACAAACTCATGAAGAACAATGTGTACTCCTATAGGACTTCTTCTGTCCACTTGCATGTTGATGATGTTACCAAAGTAATCCCTAATCATGTATCTAGGCTTCACAGCTATTTCACATTCATGGCTATTAAAAATTAATATGCTTTTACGAAATATATATTTTGAAATACACCAAAATGGTTTTAAAGATTTACCTTTTTAATTATGAAAGAGAATGCAAAATAACCTCCTAAGTTTGCATTCAACCTACCCATATAGGTCATTATCAAATATAATATATTTATATCTACCTCAACCAATATAAAAATAAACAAAAACATCTCTCAAATCTATATGTAAATACTAATATATGCTATTACAAAAAATAAATTGATATCCACACAAAGTACAAGGCATATATATTTCTAAATTATAAACTTCTACAACCATGAAATTAAATAACCATAATGCTACATTTGACCATGTATACACAAGTTTACTTAGGATAAATATTTATTTGAATAGCTTATGAAGCATGGAAAAATGTTTAATTGACAAACCACATAAACATAACATAGACATTTCATTTTAAAAAATATATTACTACTAGATGATAGTTGATTTGATAAGTTGTTGTTTTAAATAAATTTATATGTTTTAGTTGAAACATTATGTTATATCAGTATTGATAATTTAATTTTAAGCACTCTATGATATATAAAACAATACTACACACATAAAATTCTATGGTATAACAAATTCAACAAGTTTAGTGTTAGGGTGTAAAATGAGTGTCAACTTAATTAACATATGGAAAACAATACTACTAGAACCTAAACTCTTTTTATTAAATAATTATAAAAGATCAAAAAACACTAGAGTTTCTACTTAACATGTGAAAAAAGTACACAACTAGAGATTATATATCTTAATATTAGGTTAAATACATATCACGCAAGAAAAAGATTAATACTAGAAAAACTAACTAGAGGTCCCTAATGGAGCCTCCACATTAATCCTCATGAGACAAGATAGAAAAAAAGAAGATAGATCCTAGAAATTCTCACATAAATCCAACACATTTGACCATCAATTCAGTATAACCAAATAACTTTGGTAATAATAGCTATTGGATCTATTCTATTTTCTAAAGATTTACCCACCTCTGCTAATGTATAAAACAACATAAAGTAACACATGACTCTACATTTAAACTATCCACATATGCCATTAAGAAACATGATCTAAAGTATTGCTAAATTTGTATCAAATTTCTCACATACTCTTATTGTCATGCGCCCAATATGAACCCCTCACGATGGGCCTAGCGGACCTAGCGAGACCAAGCATAGGGCCTTGGTCGGCTTGGGGCGCCTCCTGCGATGGGAGGGCGCCACCAGGGGGGCGGGTCACCACCGTGCACAAAATTTCTTGATATTCAGAAAGATCTAGGATAAGTAGGAAAGATGAAAAAAGGGAAAATAAATAGGAAATTGCCTAAGACAAATAGATCAGGATTTGTTAGGAAATAAATAATTTTACTTGTAATGGAAGCAGTCCAAATCTACAAGGACTCGTCCTTAGTTTCTTGGAGATTAAGTCTAGATTGCTTGAGGGTCAAGTCCAATAGGGACTATAAATACAGGTGCATTGTAACTATTCTGGGTAAGCAAGAAATAAACTCTTCCCCTTAGCTCTCTCCTCCCTCTCTCTTGCGCCGCCGCCCCTCTCCTCTCTCTCTCTCTCTCTCACACACGCACACACACACACACCGCCCCTGCCCTAGCGTCGCCGCCCCCTGTAGCTCCCAGCACCGCCACACTCCCCTGCCCTAGCCATCCCAACCAGCCCCCGGGAAAGGACCGTGACACAAATCATAATAGATAATTTAAAAAAGCCAAATTTTATTTTATTGTTTGAAAAAATAAATATACTTTCAAATCTATGTCTAAAAATTAGCAACATCTTCTATTAAAAAAATATTTAAACAACCATAGAGCACGTATATGTTTGTGTATTACCCACATCTATCAACATTAATATATTAAGATTTAATTAAAGTAAGCACACCTGTTGTGCCAACACGGATGAGCGATAAAATATATGTCATGTTTCATCACAAAAAATAATTCCTTAACAACTCATATACTAATGATACCAACAAATTATTTAAAAACATATTAGTAACCATGAGATATTTTATTACTTTAGATATATTCATAATTGTAAGTAAATGTTTGACATATCTATATTGATGGTATAACTATAATTGCACATACGTACAACTCCTTGATAGGAAAATTCAATCATCTTGGAAAGTATGAGAGACCACTCGGGGCAATATTTTTTCAGTCCTGCAAGATTACTTAGAGTAAAAAGTCGATCGTTATATGACTTAAGTACTAAAATTCTCTTGAGGTTAGCACTGCTGCTACCCCGATCCGAGATCTCACTTCTAGCTCCATCACTTATTTTAAGTGACATTGTGCAGGTTTCAAATCATTGCTTATGCTATTGTAATACTTAAGAACATACAGCGGCGAAGCTACAAATTTTAGCCACCGGGGTCAGCATACAGTAACCATGATTTTATATAATATTTTTCTCTATGAAATGGCAATTAATTTTGCATGAAGTCATCGGGATCATCTGACTCCTATAAGTAGCTGTAGATCCGCCCCTGAGAACATATTCTATGACCTAAAATCCTTATTTTTAAAAAGTGCAAAAACGTAGGTTAATAAAACATACTATTAGAATAAGAGTTTCAACATGAGAGAAAAATCTATAGCAGTCAATAAGAATAAAATTTGAAAAACAAAAAAATAGATTCATGACGTTATAAGATATGCGATGCAGTAAGGCCACCATAGTTAATGGCACGATTTCTTGCATATGAAAATTTACGAAGGTGTCATGAAAAGTAAAAATATATATATGGATGAAGAAAATATAAATAAGTTCATCACAAAAAATAATTAATAAGTTTATGATAATTGGATATAGACTATGAAGTATCTATTATGCATATTTTGTTGATAATAAACAAAGAGAAAACATACAATTTAATATAAATAATTCTTTATTGGTTAGATGTATTAAATAATATATCTCTTAAAATTCTAGCCCACGTGAGAGCACGTGTTGATAGAATAATTGTCCTAATTATCGATCTGCGCACCATGGCCCCCACCCCGCAACTCCAAGCACCCCTGCCCCTATTAGACAACTCGAAACGTCTCCACCCAATGCAAACCAACCCCCCGCGCCCCCCCCGCGTCCCCCCTCCCGCCTTGAGCCGCCTACATGCCGGAGGGAGGAGGGAAGGAGTTGATTGCACGAATCTTCACGTCGAAAATTTTCTTACGGCTAGGACAAGACTGATTGCCACACATATATGTGAAAAAAATCCCTCTCCACCACTTTCCCTGTGCAGTGTGTTTGTAAGATCCCATTTGGCACCGCTCTCCTAGCCGCTCTGTCTCTCGGGAGTTGGTGCCCCCCCCCAACCCCAACCCCACCCCATACAATACTATTGGAGGAGTTGGTGATCTTGCTAGAGAGATGGTCTTAGTTTTATGTTTGTGTGCACAATTAATTGACAATTAATTGGAGGAGGCTATCATTAAATGGTTAGCTAGTCATCTATTTAAAACCTTGCAAGCAGGGGATGAAGGAAATGAATACACCTCCGAGGTGAGGATAAACAGCCACCTCATCCAGCAGAATCAGAAGCTGATCTGTAGAGGGCGCCGGCTTCAGTCATGCAGGACACATGAAAAGCTGTAAACACAAGAATTTCACCTATTGCCATTATATTATTCGGTCAAACCAGCTCAATGCCGCGGTCATTGGAGCCGGCCGCACTGATTACAGGTGCGCCGCAGCTGCTGGTTGCAGAATCAAACAACGCATTGGCCACAGGCTGAAGGTGTGCTGCGGCGGCCGGCAACTTCGCGGGGAGGATCGGCAGCGGCGCGTCGAACCGCAGCACCACATTAAGGGCGTGCCTGATGTCCGGCCTCTGGTTTCGGTCCGGGTGCGCGCACCAGAGCTCGACACCGAGCACGCGCTCCATCTCTTGGACACTGTACTCCCCGTCCAACCGTGGGTCAGCGGCCTCCAAAACCCTCCCGGCTTCGTGGAGGTCCCAGACCCTGTGCACCAAGTGGACCGTGCTCCCGTTCGGCAGCGTCACCACGGGCATTGGCAGACCCAGCACTAGGGCCACTAGGGCCGTGGCCCTAGTCGTGGCCCAAGTAACAAGGGAGCAATTCTTCAATTTTTTGGCCCATCAGACATCAGCCCAACCAAGAAGTCCAAGCCAAGCCAGGGAATAGGGCAGCGCTCGCTTGCGTCTGGACGGAGTCTCGCCGCCTCGCACGCTTGACGGCGTGAGTCATGTCTGGAGTCGCGCTGTTCCGCCCCGTCGTCTGCGGCCAGGTGCGTCTCTCGTCGCCACTCGCCCCCTCTGTTCTGCTCTCCGCCCCTGACCGGCTCGCCCCCTCCGCTATGCACTCGGCGGCTCCGACCTCGGCAGGTCTCCGACCGCCTGGCCGGACGCTGCCCAGCGCCCTAGTGGTGGCTGCCCGTCGCTCGCTGCCCAGCGCCCCAGTGGCGTCCGCCCTGGCCCTGCTCAGCTGCCCGTTGCTCGCCAGACAGCCAGGGGGCGCTGCGCCGCTGCCCGCTGGGCGCTGGCCAAATCAAGCAGGACCAGGTGAACAGGAAGACAGAAGCAGAGCCCTGGTTTGCATCTAGTTTCCCAATTTCAAATTTTCAACCTTTGTTGCAGTTTGTATTTTGAAAAGTTTCTATTCCAGTTACATTCTAAAATTACAGTTTAGAAGATGAAGAGGACCGGACTTCAACATTGTATTTCTATCGAGTTCCTGAACAAGAGGGGGCTGCTGAACAACAGACTTTCTTTGAGACTCCTCTCAATTTGCAAATTTTCTTTGAAAATAGTTGTTTTTCTATCTGACATATATAGATTATAGTGTAGCTTTAGGTTTTTGGCTGCTAAAATTTAGCCCTAGTCTTGGCTAAATTCTGGGTCCGCCACTGACCATGGGGCACCGGCCGCAGGCGATCTCGAGGAGCACGACGCCGAAGCTGTACACGTCCGACTCCACGCTCGTCCTGCCGGTGTTCAGGCACTCCGGGTCCACGTACCCCGTCGTGCCCGCCGCCGCCGTCGTCCGTGACCTCCGGCAGTTCTCGATCACCCTCGCCAGCCCAAAGTCGCCGAGCTTGGCGGTGAACGACGCGTCCAGCATCACGTTGCTTGGCTTGACGTCGCGGTGCACGACGCACAGCTCCGTCTCCTGATGCAGGTACAGAAACGCCGAGCCGAGCCCGAGCACGATCTGATACCTCACCCTCCACGTCAGCTTCTTGTTTGGGTTGTAGAGGTGGCCGTCCACGCTGCCGTTGCGCACCAGCTCATAGACGAGCAGGAGGTCGTTGCCATCGCCACCGCCGTAGCACCAGCCGACGAGCAGCACGAGGTTCCGGTGCCGGAGACGGCTGATGATCCTCACCTCCAACGTGAACTCGTTCCAGCCCTGCGGAGAAGTCTTGGAGACCCGTTTGATGGCCACGTCCAGGTTCAGGTCCTCCAAGAACCCACGGTACAACGATCCAAAGCCACCTTCTCCTAGTTTCCTGTCGTCGGAGAAGTTGTTGGTCGGCGGCGAGCTCTTCGTAGGAGAATCTCCTTGGTCCCGTAGTCCCTTGCTCCAGCTCGATGACTTCCACAGCTTCACCTCGGAAATACGTCAGTGCTCTGGCGGAATTCTTCTTTGCCGCCGTTCTGCCTTTGCGCCGTTGCAAGTGGTACTGACGGCATCGACCGAGGCAGGCCAAGAACCCCACTGTGCCGGTGACGGACACGCCGGTTACCAACATAATCAGTTTGATGCCCTTCCATTTATGACCAGAGCTACCTGCAGCATATATAGCATCTGTATCAGAGTGTCTTTTAATCTTATCTTACGGCATGTTTAGATCCATTAGTACTAAAAGAATTAACTAGCTAATAGCCAATAGCTGCTAATGTTTAGCTAGCTATTTTTTTTAGTAGCGGTTGTTTGGATCCACATGCTAATAGGTGGTTGGATTGTGGGTTGAAGGTCGGTGGTTGGATTGTGGGTTGAAGGTCGGTGGTTGGATTGTGGGTTGAAGGTGCATATAAACTATTAGCACATATTAGCAACTCTAAACCTGCTAATGGAACTAATAGTTAGCAGCTCTCTAGTTTATAATTAGCATGTTTGTTTGGATCCACTAGTACTAATTTTAGCTACTAATTTTTAGTTATAGTGGATCCAAACAAGCCCTTACTATATTCCCGTATGAGATATTATATGCACAAAAATAATTTTTGGACTTCAGAGAGACAGAGACACCACCTTTTGTTACTTATTAAAATAGGAGGGATGTGAGCTCGTACTGTGGTTTATTGCAAAAAGATTAAATACAAGTCTAAAAAACAAAATCACGAAACAAAAAAGGTTACAAAGAAGATAAGAGAACTACACGTAAGCTTCTAGCCATAAGTCAATTGTAGGATGAAACTTGCTTCGACACCACCTTGCATTTTCAGGATGCAGCAACCACCTCTAAAAATAATTAAGAGGCCTAACTATCGGGGACCTCTAAAGAAACTGCCTGAGGCTAGTTTAAAAAACTGCCTATGCAGTAGCTTATAGCTGTCGTACAAGTAAACGCACAACTTTTTCATAAGAAGTTAGATGGAGACAAATTTTAGGTAAAAATTATATACCTCTACAAGATATACAACTATGTAATTGATAACCTTTTGACTTGAGATAGTTTAGAGACATAAATATTACACTACTAGAAACTCGAATTGCCCCGTGGGTGACGAATTTTTCTGTGCGTTTCGGTACGCACAGAAAAATTACGATTATTCTGTCGGCTCCAAAATATCCGGACAGAAAAATGCAAAAACCGATAGAATAATTATATGATTTTTCTGTGCGTGACAATACACACGAAAAAAATCAGCACTCACAGAAAAATGCAACTTATTATGTCGGTTCTTTAAAAAGGCACAGAAAAAATACATGCATGCACAGAAAAAATATTATTATTCTGTCGGTTATTTTAAAACGCACAGAAAAAGCATACACACGCACAGAAAAATTCAAACGACCACTAGGATTTGGCGTTCGCGCTTTCCATTTCAGCATTCGCGCATTCTCGTGAAAAGAAAATGCTTTAATTCATAAAATAAAAAAATCAAAGAAGTCATAACCCTAACCTGCCGGCCAGCGCCCCCAAACACCCTCGCACGCACTCGACCCAACAGCATGCACGCACTTGTGGACTCGCCCGCTCGGCTCCTCACGCACGCACGCACACGCTGCGCCGCCGCCGCAGCAGCTCCGCACCAATGCCGTCCGCCGCAACCAGGTTGGCAGCCTCTAGATCCGCGCCAACGTAAGCTCCCCGCCGGCCGCTGCCACCGATTCGGTGCCCTCGCTCTCCCCAGCCGACCGCCCATTGGGTGCCAGCCCTTGGCCACTGGGTGCCAGGCGCTAGCCGCCGATGCTCCGGGGCACGTCCCCAGGCCCTCCGCCGGCTGTACAGGGTCATGGGACCTTCCCCTCCATTGCTTGTCTCGGCGCGATGACCCTCCTCTCCCAGTCGATCTCCCCCGCCCCTGCTCTTCCATCCTCCAGATTTGGCCACCAGTGCACTGCACTTCGGTCAAGGTACATTTCTCTCTTCACTGATTCTATTTTTTGTATGAGATGCCGGTTTATTTGAGTGTCCACTTGTATGAATTTTCAGTTGAAGCATGCTTCCCTCAAGATTTAGTCACCGGTGCTGTCTGCTTCAAATCTGAATCGAGTTTTCAAGTTATCTGTTTCTCCCCTAAAAATGTATGGATAAGTAAAGCATGTTTTCCTTGTGTATTTAGAGTATCTATGACTCTTATTGATATTTTCATGACATGTACCTATTCAGTACCTATAGGCAGCATATCAGCCATAGTGGCCTCACTACCGGAAACCGGCGATTTGCCGAGTGCCGAGGCTTTGCCGAGTGTATTTTATCGGGCACTCGGCAAAGACAGTGTTTGCCGAAAGTGCCAAATAAAATACACTCGCAAAACAAAAACACATGGCAAAATACGCCTTTGCCGAAAGTGTTTTTTCGCGCACTCGGCAAAGATGTATTTTGCCGAGTGCCTTTGTTTTGGCACTCGGCAAAGAAGCTTTTTGCCGTGTGCATTTTTTTTGCCCTCGGCAAATCATTTTTTCGAAGCAATTTTTGAGGCCCTAAATGAATTCAAATGAAAAACTTTTCAACTACAAAGTTGTATAACTTCTCAAGATCTACAAAGTTTATTTTGGTCATTTCTTCATTTGACAAAGCGACAATAACGTTGTTCATAAAATCTACATCTCTCATATTAGTTTCATGAAAGTAGAAGATACATATATAAGATTTGTGAACAATGTTACTACCACTATGTCGGATGAACAAATGACTAAAATAAACTTTGTAGATCTTGATAAGTTATGAAATTTTGTAGTTGGCAACATTTTGATTTGAAATCATCTTGTCATGCAAAAACGACGTTTGAATTTGAAAATTTTAAAATTTGAATTTTTCAAACGACCTCGGATGAAAAAACTTCCTAAATGAAAATTGTAGATCTCCAAAAGTTATGAAACTATGTAGTTGACAACTTTTTGATTTGAAATCATCTTATCATGCAAAACTATGTTTGAATCTCTCAAATTTAAAATTCAAATTTTTCAAACGACCTCGGATGGAAAAACTTACTAAATGAAAATTGTAGATCTCAAAAAGTTATGAAACTTTGTAGTTGACCACTTTTGATTTGAATTCATTTAGGGCCTCAAACAAGAAATTTACTCTCAATTTGCCGAGTGCTTTTTTTCTAGCACTCGGCAAAGCCGTATTTTGCCGAGTGCCTATGTTTTGGCACTCGGCAAAGAGGTATTTTGCCGTGTGTATTTTTTTTTGGCCCTCGGCAAATCAGTTTTTCGAATCAATTTTGAGGCCCTAAATGAATTCAAATGAAAACTTTTCAACTACAAAGTTAGATAACTTCTCAAGATCTATTAAAGTTTATTTTGGTCATTTCTTTATTTGACAAAGCGACAATAACGTTGTTCATAAAATATACATCTCTCATATTAATTTCAT